CTCGGTCGAACAAAGGGGCTATAATTTATGTAAATCCGAGGAGGAACCAAACAACAGCAGCACCAGCATGGCGTTCGCCGAGGAGTCGTGTTTCGAGGTTTGGGGTCTGAGGTCTGGGGTCTGGGGTCTGGAGTCTGGCAAAATGGTGGCTCATTTGTCGGTTGTCTCAGGGAGATCTGAAAAAAGGGAGACCAAACCAGAGACCGTGGACTCTGGCTGGCGGGATGGAAGGTTGCTGGACTGCCCGCGCCTCGCCTTCAATTACAAACACATAAATTCTCATTTCCATTTGACACATGACATCCCATAAAACTTGTTAAAAAGTACGACCACAAAGGCCCAGCCTCTCGTTTTCTCGGTCTGCAACGGAGATGGGATTGGAATTGGGATTGGGATTGGGATTGCGTTTGGGTTCGGGTTCGAGTTCGATTTGATTGGATTGCGGTGAAGCAAGGAGAGAGCGGCGGGGTACGCACAGCAAACACTGCATCCAAAATGGTAAATTCCGCCTCACAATCTCAACGACCCTTTGGCCATAAAACACCGAGGGTTCACTCTTTATTTTTCTTTACGGACGCCGAATGATATCAGATTTCTTTTCATTCCTGTGCCTTTCATTTCGATTCGTTTCGTTTTGGCTGTGACTGTGAATGTGCATTTCGGTACGGAGATGACGTAAAATGGCGGAGTCGCATTAAGCACGGCCTTTTATGGAGTCCGCCCAAAGCTGCGTACAAAGCGGGGCTCATTATATAAATCTCATTGATCCGCCATTAAAAGATACAGTTTAAAAGCCCAGTCGCGGCGAGTGCAACAAAGACGAACTCTGGCACTTAATGGGGTTGGCTGCAAAGTCTGTAGCACTTACGTTTCTAGGAAAGTGTTGGACAGAGATTGGGTGCCGCTGTGTAAAGCGATTAAGAAATGCCCAAAAGGAAGTCAACTATTCGGCTACCAAAACTCTGCGCCAAACAAAGTATCTAAGCGGGCAATCTACGCCGAAAAAGGCATTACCGAGCGGGGTAAGTTTGGAATCCACTTTGTGACAGACATTCGCATAAGCTCCTCAAGCGTTTGATGCCATAAAAACGAAATTGACATTTTCGCAAAGTCCGTTGCTGGCAATAAATTTGCTTCTTTCTGGCATTTCCGTTTATTTCTACTCATTTCTTTGGCACTGGCAGACAAAAGGAGCTGCCAACAATGTAAGCAGTACATCCCATGGATATATGTTTTGCCGTTGGGAGAGGGTCACTTTCGAGCTGGCTTTTACGAGTCCACGTAGCCAGGGATCCAGCTCCGACGATTTGGATTTACGAGGACGCTTAGATTTCGCGGACAATGGAGCACAAATCGTTACTGCCGCACGTGGAGGTCCGCCGGCAATTGTGAAAAGCGTTTTTCGATTGCTATTCCGCGCAGATACGAAGATTTGGATATCCACCCAGAAACCGAAACCGATCCGCGACCACCGGACAACACATGTTGCACACCGCTGAGCTCGCAAGCCGCACTGATTTGCATCCTTCGGTGGAAAGCGGAATCGCACCCACGCAATACTTTTGACCTTGGGACGACCACACCGCTCAGCACTTTAAATAAAGGACTCAACTCTTTTCATATCCTCCAAATGGCTTTAGAAACCGGATCGTAATGGCAATGCATTTGCTTCAAGGACACCGTGTATCCTTCCATTGCGCAATGTTACGCTCGATCGACGAAGCCGCATTTGGGCCAAGGTCGTCCTTCAATGTTAATGCTAGATCGTAAAGATTTGCCGAGTCTCAAATGGAAATAAAGGGGTGCAGTTGTGAAAGGGAGATTTCAGTGTTTATGAGGGCACTTCGAAAAGTAATTTGGCCGCTTCACTTATGCTAGCTAAATATTTGCTTAACCTTTATTTGGCTTAAATTTTTCGTAAAGGATATTTTGATTTCATTTTCTTGAGCTATGATTTATTTAATATACAAATGTGCATATAGATTTTTATATATTAAATTGTAAGAGCATTTTAATTTAGCTTAACTGTTATGACCATTTAAATTTTATAAATCAATAAATCGATGATCATCCCAAAAGATGACATTTAAATAATATACAATTTATGCTGTTAAACTTAGAGCTCTGGATTACCGATTTCTAGTCTAAATTAAAGTGAATATTTGTAATGCTGTAATGCTCTTATATCGTATTTAAATTGTGAATTTTTTTATTTGTAACATAATACAAAATAAACTTAGAGCCAATAAGAAGTCGTACGAATAATAAATTTAAAATTACTGAACCGAAATTTTCAAAAGCATCTGAACAAACACGTATTTAAAAATATTGTTAACATAATTAACAAAATTAAAATGTATAATAACATAACATTCAACATCGCTTAAGAAAATTGTAAAATACACATATTTTGAAAGCAAAAAAAGCCATTTTAACATAATATTCTAAAATATATTACATATCTCCAAACTCAGTAGCTTATACAGGTATGTACATATGTATGCATGACTTTGTATGTATGTATGCGAATAGTGGATACACGTACATACATATGTACACGGCGGCCATCATGGATTTAAACTCCGCCCCTTTTCGAATACAGACTGTTTTTTCCTTCTTATATTTTCTGCGCAGAGTCTTATACTGATGATTTTCGTTCGCTAGGTGGCGCTGTTAGACTTAGGTGGGAGAATTTGCTATGTAAGGTGGGTGAAATAGCTAGATGGGCTGTTCAATAGACTAGGAGGGTGCACTCGCTAAAAAAGGTGGGTGTCCAGTGCCAATGCACAGTGGGAAAATATTTTTACTTTAAAAAAAAAAAAAAATTTTTTTACTTTATTCATAGATTTGCATTGTTACTAATCAAACTGTTGTAATATTCTGTAGTATTATTCGCTTTATATTCGTTTTGTCATATATTCGCCGGCAAAAATTATAATATTTATAATCGTTACTCGTAGAGTAAAAAGGTATACTAGATTCGTTGAAAAGTATGTAACAGGAAAAATGAGTCTTTCCGACCCTATAAATTATATATATCCAGGATCATGATCACTAGCTCAATCGATCTGGCCATATCCGTCCGTCTGACGGAAAGTTCAGATCAGATTTTTTTAGAAAAAATTTAAAAATTTCATGTTTTTACTCCCAGGAACTAGATATCGGGTATATGAGGAACTTTTGTTATAAGTTTTTTATGTTACTATTTGAAAGAATAACTTGCCAACAATATATCATTTACTTTTAAAGGGTAAGCACTCTTCGGCTTTCGCGTAATGTGCCGTTCATATGTGCACGGATCTGGCAGCGCTGTAGTATCTGCACGCCATTATTTTCTCGACAAGCCCCGCCCCGTGACAGAGGAACGGTATAAAAAAGTATCTGTATCCGTATGAGTTGCAACAATATGCGCGGCCATTAGAGACACAGATACGAACGCGTACTGAAAGACTCATGTAGCGATAAGGTGGTGGAATGACAATGGTTGATAGATAGATAAAGAATACCAAACTGAGGGGTGAAAAGCGGGGGTGGTGAGCGTGGCTCCATTTTGCGGAATTGGATTAAGCGGCAGCGGTTCTTGGTTCTTAAGTGCCGCCATTCCATTTCCCGTTATCTGTGTCCGGGCTTTTATGGCAGTACGTGATCTTGGAGAGCAAACGAAGGTCCGTGGCAGGGCGTGGGAACTTCCCAGATGCTATAAACGTCGAATGGCGACCGGAAATCTGCTTCATCCCTACTATGTTTCCTCAACGAGTTGTTCGTTTTTCTGAAGATTGCTGCAATAGCATCACGCACTGGCAGATAGTGGAGTCGAATTAAAAAGGACATAAAGCACGGCTATGATAACATTGTCGTTCTTAATGGGGCATTGACTGCATAGAGATGCGTGGGAAGGCACGCCGAGCAACAGTCTTTTATTGCTAATCAAATAATTTAAATATTCATTTTGAGGAATAGGCGACCAGCCTTTAAATTGTAAAAGCACAAGCTTTGATTTGTTCCTTCCCAATTAAAAGAGTGCTGCAGAAAGGTATTTATAAATTCTGCTCTTAATCAAATCGTTTTTAATATTCTTTACATCAGTTATCATATCTTTTGACCCTAAAAAAAATGTTACAAAGCAAAGAACTTCTTTATAACGAGATCATAAATTACTGCAAAAAAATTATTGAAAATAAACGTAGTCATTTATTATATTTTTAATATTAACCGACATTGTTAAATCAATACCACAATCTTAGCTCCTTTACTTGATAAAAGAAATGAGTGTACTAAATGTTAAACTAAAGGCAATGAACTCTAAGCGGTATTCTTCCATTTAAGTTAACCCAGGTTCCGATATTCAGATCCTAGAGTTTTAAATATATCATTAATCAAAACATTTTTTTTAAGCCATCAACACTTTTAAAATCACTGTGGTGGCAGAAGTAAAAAGCAATTATTCTTTGAATATTTGAAAACTCTGCTACGGCGGACTGCAAATAAAAAAAAAATATTACCAAGACAACATTTTTTAAAATTTTAATTTAACAATTTAGTTTTTATAAACATATAAAACCGGTGTAGAATATCGGATCATAATATTTTAATCAGGATAACTAACGAATTAACTTACGAAATATATCATGCAGTTTTGGAAAATCGCTAGAGTGTCAAGTTGCATTTAGTTGCATTAACCAGACTAAGGCAATAAGATTTCCCATTAGTTTAGAAACAAATTAGCACTGCATAAATTTAGAAATGTTTAAATTTTAGAGAAAGCGAAGCCGATTTTTGTTCGTTGTAGAAGAACATTTTTCTATTGGTGACTGATACCTAATTGCCGAATTATAGTTGAAAATATTAATGTTTATATTTGGCTAAAAGCGCGTATTTTTGTTAGTAGTAGTTTTTTCAAATCTGGATTTTAATTTATTAATATTTTTAAGATTTATTTAACAACGCCTTACATATTAGCTATACTGCAACATAAAGCATGTTTAAATAAATGTACTCACCCCAGATTGCCTGGCACTTGAATCAAAGTATAATCATTTATAACAGCCGCACAAATACGATCTGCCGAGAAGTGACTTGCCGTCGGCTTGCAATTCCTAAACGCGATTAATATTGTAATTGGCGATAAGGTGCAATAATTGATAATGGCGAGATATTTGCCACCGGATCGACAAATGGGTCTCCGGTTTGATGATGGCTATAATTTAAAGCACACAGTCAATGGGTCTGGCGCGTAATGTTTATGAAAATTGCACATTAAATCTTTGTTTTGTGGCCCAATAGTCTGTCAATTACACTGTTATAGTTCCCGTTGTCGTTGTAAACGCTTTGGTTATTGTTGTTGGTTTATTATTTTAACACTTTCGAGCAAGAGCGCGCCGGCGGTGGCCAAGTGTTAGAGCCAGTTTTTGGTTTTGGAGTCCGAGGTGCGGAGCGTCATCGAGTGAACTGAATGGTGTGCGAGTTCTCCGCTATCTGTGAATCGCTGTTAGTTTCCAGGAATCGCAATCGCATAGCCCACTCACACTCGCACTCGCATTCACACTCACACTCAGACCCAGAAATACGCAGCGGATACGCGGACATACGACGCCGACGCCAAGAGTCACCCAGTGCGATGCCAATAAGGCTATGGGCATGAGGTATACCTATGGCTATAGGAAAATCGGCAACAACAACGGCGACCGTGACGAACGCGGGCCGGGGACTAGGAAAAACTTCGACTTCGACTTCGGCTCCGGCTCTTGGGACCATAAATAGTAGATAAACAAATAAATAAAGCGGCGTGGGGAACCGCCTAGATATATGACGGGCATATATCTTTTTTTCGAGTCGCACCCGCACCCTTAAAGGCGCACGCTTCCGATACTCTTCGACTTCGACTTCGATTTCGGTTCCTGGCCACATTGGGGTTGCAGCTCCGCTCCGTTCCAGATACATAAATTCGCCGGCGACAGGAATCAACCACCGACACCGACCGTTGACGCCCCCGCCCCAAATATCCGTATCTATATCTGTAGCTGTAGCTGTAGCTGTAGCAGTATCTGTAGCTGCGCAGTGCGCCCTGCAAAACGAAGCAGTACCAGTCACTTGCCCCCAGATACAGATACGGCTACACTGCGTGCCACGTCGAAAATCAATCACCTTCGATGGATGCATTTTATCGTGCGCAGACTCCGATTTATGAGACCAACTTTTGGGGTGGACGCCCACATATCGCTCGGGCTTATTTACTTTCCCAGCACTTTGGCTTAAAATATAGAGGGCATTAATTCTCCCATGCTGTCTAGATAAAGGACGACCTGCCGAATTAAGTTTGACCCTCAATGAAATCGAAAGTCTTTAATACAGAATGTAATAATTGCAAAAATCGTAGAGCGTTGAACCAGACTACTTTACAAATACTATTTCAGTACTTTTTCCTTGTAATTTAACAAAGTCTGTAGGGAGTTTTAATCAAAAGCGATTAAGGATTAGGTATGTAATGTTTGGAAAAGTTTACAAATTATTGACTTATTTTTGCCCAACTCAATACTGCTTCTTTCAGTACTTTATACAAGTTTTAAATCTTAGTTTTTAATAGAATCACTCTCGATTCAATATAAATGTCCAATCTGATAATAAATATAAGGATTGAATCATTTGTAAGAACTTGACTGAAATTATGATAAGAAAGAGTAAATGCATTGTAGCGCTTACAGTAAGTGAGTAGTGATGTTTGCAAATCGAAAAGGGAAAGTGAGTTCCGCAATAAAATCCTCCCGTCTACCGAAAGCCCGTGTGGTGTGGCCTTTTGGGCGATCTAACTGGGCTTGGACGTGTGCTAATTCGAGAACCAACAAAGGCAAGGGACCAGATCTCTCGCAGTTTGCGTTCCAAACAGAAAACGGACACTTTTCCATACCGTTCTTAAAGTCCAGAGCTGGAGTGGAGGAAGGCGTGGGAAGGGGCCAAGCGGTACCGGCACAGCGCCATCGATACGGTCCAAAGAGCCGACTCGACGCCTGGCCAGGTGTTTGCCTGCGAAATGTGTGGCAAGCTTTGTGTTTTGGTGACTCCGGTGACACTTACCCAAACGGTGCTAGGACAAGCTGCTAAGTGGCTGCTCAAACAACGCGTGCTGGTGTCGTACGACTTATCCAAATTGCTCAGATTCCCTTCCTCAGACCAAAGACACTAGATTTTTTTGCACACATTCTTCAGGCTTTAATTAAGACAATTTGTACTACTTTGTGCAAGTAACACATGCAGCACATACATACATGCATACATGCATACATGTATACATGCATGCATGCATGCATACATACATACATACATACATACATACATACATACATACATACATACATACATACATACATACATACATAAATACATACATACATACATACATACATACATACATACATACATACATACATAAATACATACATACACATACATACATACATACATACATACATACATACATATACATACATACATATACATACATACATACACTACACATACACTCACTGCTCGACCGGTAAGACAGATTACTCGAAATATTGACTCTAAATTAGAAGACATGCCTTACAGTCCTCACTAGAACTAGTTGGGAATTATAGGGCTACAAGAAAATAATATGTAGGAACTCGAATTTTGGAATATTCTAGTGTCTTCGCTCAGACCATCCAACGCAGTTGCAATAAGAACCACGGAGAACAGGTGCGCTACAACTTAAACTTGTTGCAATACGCCCCAGATTGACTCTAAGGTCGAACCTGTTATTTTTTTAAAATATTTTTTGGTTCTGGGCCTTAAAAACACATAGCATCGATGAAGTTCATGCTGCGCTTCAACTTGTGTTTGAGCTTATTAAGTATATTAAGTACTGTATATAAAGTATATTAAGCTGAACAAATATAACAATAATGGATGTACGAATAATTGAATATGCGGCTTAGCTTTAACCAAGAATATGGTGTGTCGGTGGGACTGTGAAGGATAACTGGGGAAGTTGCCCTGATGCAAACCTATTCAAATCAGTCACGCACCTCTTTGCACCCACACTGCTGGCGGAACGACTTGAAGTCAAATATTTTGACGGCTTGTCAAAGAAGTGACAAGACAAACCCTCACCGGAACCGATAACGCGGTGCCCCAGAATTTGGCAGCATGGCTTTGTTTCGGGCTCGGCCAGAGCTCGGATTCTTCTTAAATGCCGACCGTGTTAAAGGGGAAATCACACATTTAGCCCGATTTGCATTTGCTTGCGACTCCAACTCCGAGAGACCTCTGTCCGGTGATTTACGACACCGAATCGATCTGGCACCGAAACTCGGTTACCTTTCGGCTGTACTACCTTCCCAGTTTTTAGTTTCTGACGGTGGTCGATGTGCGAAGTTGTACGAGTACTCTGGAGCCGGCTACTGTATTTCACTCTCTATGAGGCCATGAGTTTCCCCCCGCATCGAAACGGAATTAAAGATGGCCATTGCCGCGAAATAACCGCTGGCTTGGCACCGGACGTCTTGATACTTATGGCGAGAAAATGGAAAATTCGATGTCGCCATTAACATTTATTGCTACTTGGGGAAAACTCGATTACACCACCACCACATTGCATTGCCATTGCACAGCCGCCATTTTATGAGACGCGCCTGGGCACTTATGGCATCATCAGGACATCGGAGGGGATGATCCCGGGAAGGATGGCAGGATAACTGGAGAGCTGGCAGTCTCGTAAAACGGATTTTGCGCTTAGTCAGGATGCGTGCAGCAGTTTTATGGACCGCTCCAGCACTCGGAAAATGTATACAGTTTTCCATTTACAGCCTTCGCGCTCCAGTGCGCCTGCAGCCTCCGCTGTTTGCCATAAAATATCGAAATGTTCGCAGCCATAAAAGTTTATGAGTGCAGGCACCCAAATTGGGATTGCCCAAGCTCCGAGATCCAGGACACAGGGTGGAAACTTGTCAGAACTTAACATTCAGCCAGCTGGCAAACTCTCCGGAAATGGATAAGTACGTGGCATTCACGGTCATCACCTTGTTCTGGCTGCTATTCGCCATCATTGGCTTCCTGGTGTCCTACCGATACGAGGAGCGTGGTCTCATCCGGAGCTGTGTGATCCTCACGGTAGTGTGCTGCTACTTGGCCTGGATGGTCACCTTCGTGATGCAGTTGAATCCACTGAGCGGACCGCGAGCCAAACAGAAGATTATCCTCGGCATGATAAGCTACTGGCCCAATTCCCTTATCCATGATCAAAAGGACCCGTAGAAACGCAGCAGATTATATATTTTTTAATGCAAGCCTAAGTGTTCTAAATGTTAATTTTGGAAAGCAAATCCTTTGAACACTATCTTCTTGAAAATATTTGCTAAACTTGCTGTATCCCCTTCGCAAATTTTGTTCCAATTTATTCAAGGCCAATGAATTATCAAACTATCCTAAATCGAAAAGGCCGCCGGCTTTTATAAAAAGCACATTCGTAATAAAAAATAAATGTCTTATTAACTGATAACTGCTTCTTCTTGTAATAGCAAGTGTGATATACCTTTGGTATACCTATTATAAATGTTCAGCCTTAAAATTAAGTAAAAGTATTGCGACGAATGAAAATGTTTACAATACAAAAAGAAGATAGAATGCTATGGTCGAGTTCCCCGACTATCAGATACCCCGTACTCAGCTAGTGGAATATCGGTAGAAATTGGGGAAAAGTAATAAAATGAAAAAAAAAAGAATAGACGGACAGACGGACATGACCAGTTCGACTCGGCTATTGATCCTGATCAAAAAAATATATATTTTTTTATATGGCGAAAACGTTTCCTTCTGCCTGTTACATACTTTTCGAATCTAGTGTTAGCGAATCTAGTATACCCTCTTACTCTACGAGTAACAGGTATAATAACCTGATTTGATTTTGCTTTCCTGAACGTTTTAAAATATATATTTAGTTATATTTAAAAATTATATTTGACAATTTGCGTTATACACCTGGTTCCAGAAAGTCATGCAGCTCCTCCACGAAATCGACAACCTTCTCTAGGTTAGGACGTCCATTGCGGAGCTCGTCAATAAGGTCGACGGATTCAGACACACCAAGGGACTTGGCCATTTTAACGCCATATGCCAAGGCCTCCTGGGCTTTCCTATGGTCGAGATATGTTTTGTCAACCAGGTCGGGACGGTAGGAGTGGATGATGGCGCACAGAGCATGGCCACTACTCCACGAGGCACTGAACTCGTACATGGGAATTCCGTATGGTTTAACCCTTTCTTGGCACCAGCGGAGCAGGCTGAGGCGTCGATCGCCGAATGTTTTTCCCACGTACTTTGGCACCGATGCTGTACAGGAAACGCGGGACGGCACAGTACGTGGAACTAAAGGCGCTGATGGTAGCTTTTTAAGTAGGGATTTGGACTTTATCTTCGGAAAAACCGGGATTAAGCTCGCTTTGGACGCCAAAGGTGTTATCTGGGTGCAGGGCTTGTAGATCTTATCCCAGAAAAGCTGGCGTGACAAAGAAACTGCTATTGGTGGCCTTGGCAAAAAGCGAGTTTTACTATTGAAATAGCTTGGTTTTCGTCCCACTGCACTGCCTATTTTTCGGATCCATCTTCTTCGGATCGTAGTCATGTTGCCATAAAGACATTCCATAAGGCGGCTCAACTTGAAGCTGCAGTCCGGAAATTTAAGTCTGTTGTAATGGGAAAGAGCACTCAAGGCTTTGTCAATGACGACCAAAGTATTCTTACTGTTTTTTCTTAACCTCCGACTTGCATTTGTATTTGATTTGGTCTCTTTTTCTAACCCAAATCGCAGCTGTCCTTTCCCGTAATATAGGTCGTCCATGTCCTTTTTAATTTTACACATTGCGCTCTTGGCTCTCACCTTAATCTCTTTTTCCTCACTAAGACGGATCTTCAGTTTTATAAGAGTTTCCCGTTCCGATTGACTTAGCTTAACCGACTTCCGTACGAGACTTTTCCTAGTCGATATTCTGCTTTTTCTTTGCACTACTTGCGCATTCCAACTTTGGGGAAATCTTTTCTGTGGCCTAATCTTATGTCTCTCCCTAATTAATTGCTGGCTGGCTTCCTTCAATTTCTGATACTGTTCGGTGATGTTCTTCAACTGTATTTGGTAGTTGGACAAACATTCTTCGAGTGCCTTGGTGCGATCCTGCTCCTCAGCTAGTCTCTGTTCCGCTGCCTCTTGATTTCTGCAGGCCTGAAGGACCAAGGTTTTCTCCTTCATTATCATTAAATTGTGACCCATTGCTTCTAGCTCCTTTTTTTTCTCCGCATTTCTCAACATTAACCGCAATTTATTTAACTCACAAATCTGACTTTCTTTTAAAGAAGTTTCCGGAGTAGTAGAACATAGCTCTTGATTGGCAAATTTCGACCCCGAAGAAGATTTTAGGGCCTCCTTGACAATACACTCCAGTTCAAAAAGAATGGTATCAACGTCCAGCTGAAAGAGCGTTTTATTCACTCTATTTAAGCTTTCTTCAGTCTCAAGTAGTGGCAGAATAATAGACAAACGCTTAATGTACCGAGTACCTATGTACATATATAGTTATATATTGCCACTTCGAAATAAGAACTTACATCGTAACAGAACTGTACCGGACTCTTGACTTTCGGCAAATGTCTCCCTCAAAGACCTTGTGAAAAGAATTACTTTCCCCAAGCAGATCTTCATTTTGCGAACTTCATTGAGGCTCCAATCCGTGCTATCTGGTCCTAAATGGCTGGCATTCCTCAAATCGGACTGTATTTCTTTTATCTGGCTTACAAGCTCCTTTAATATGGAACCCATCGGCAATGATAATTGAGTGAACAAAAGTGTGATTTGGTAAAGTTAAATCATGAAAAATGTATTACATTTTGGCAATTCAAAATATAGCTACTGAGAATTTTAAGAACTATTTTAATAAGTATAAGTATATATTTTCCGAAATATTAATTTTTTTTTTGGTACTAATATTTTTAGCTTCAATTTTTTAATTAGAAATCAGTAATTTTATAAGCAAGCCATTTTCGGTAGAGCCGGAAAATATTATGTAAGGCCTTTCATGTAAGTCCAATGTAAATTGACAGCGCCGTGTAGACGCTTGATGTAGAACTTTTGTAATTTCGCATGTGTAAAATTGGCTTTAGCCTAAACACGAACCGTAATGCTAGATTTTACAGAATTTGTTAGTTATATTTGCCTAATTGGAATAGGACTTGAACCAAATTTATCAGACTGATAAGATAATATCAGCAATATTTTTATTATAATTTTTTATAATTGCAATTCTTTGCTAAAAAAAATTAGTGAAAACACTAACGTCCCTAATAGTGATTTTATGCACCAAAATTTAAACCATTTGCATTAAAATGTATTTTCATATATTTGCTAAATAATATCAAAATTACAGAACGAGAATAACAGGATAACACATTGAATACTGATTAATATCTGCGAATGAAATAAAATAACATAAGTTAAATTGCTGATTGGAAAGGAGAGCTAGTGAACGAACCTGTAGTAATTGGCTTTAAAAGGCCCGGCCTTGTTTAAGCCCATAAATTTGGACTGCTCATCCGTGAGCTCTGTGAGATGAGCGTCGAAGGTGGCGAGATGCAAACTGGCCACGTATTCATCTGAAAGTATGTTAATTTACTACAAGAATTATATAGCTAGCAATGTAATAACCTACCCATTTTCTTTGGCAGCAGGTAGACATCCGACTTATATCTTCCTGGCGCTGAGAAGAGTTCAATCAAGGCCAAGGCCTGGGTGGAGGAGGCCACGGATACGACAAACGAGGATATGGTGGAACAGGAGAGATTCACCAGCCTGCCCTCGGCCAGCAAAATGATCATCCTGCCATCCGGCCACCTGATGTGGTCCACTTGGGAACGGACACGCTCCCACGTTAGTTCCGGTGTATGCAAGCCATTCTGATAGGGTTTAAGATCAGTTTAATAGATGAAGGCCAATTTGAAGTCATACCGTATACATACCACATCAATCTCCGAGCAGGAATGCCCCATATTGCAGAGTATACACCCATTCTTCATGCGATTCATGTGATCCCTGGTGATTACATTTTTGTTTCCCGTTGCCGTAACCACCACATCCACGGTCTTTATGACCTCGTTGAGCCGCACCACACGGAATCCATCCATGGCAGCTTGTAGAGCGCATATGGGATCCACCTCCGTAACATAGACAATGCATCCTTGGCCCTTCAGGGACTGGGCACAGCCCTTGCCCACATCTCCGTACCCGCAGATCACCACCTGCTTGCCGCCAAACATAATGTCCGTGGTGCGTTTCAGACTGAAAGAAGATTTTTAGAAAGGATTAGTCAAACCTTACAACATCTAATTTCTATCATCTAAGTTCTATCATGAATATCTGAACTCACCTGTCCAGGATGGAGTCACGACACGTGTAGAAAGTATCAAACTTGTTCTTGGTCACTGAGTCGTTGACGTTGATGGCCGGAACAGTAAGTTTTCCGCCCTTTGACAGCATGTACAGCCGGTGCACCCCGGTCACACTCTCCTCCACAATGCCCCGAATGGCCTTGAAGTAGTCCGGGTACTTCTTCAGCATAAGGTGCGTGGCATCGCCCCCGTCATCCAGGATCAGGTTCGGCTGCCAGCCATCGGAGTGGATGACCCTGTCCAGGCACCACCAGAACTCCTCCTCCGTCTCTCCGCGCCAGGCGTAGATCGGAATTCCCGCCTCTGCCAGAGCGGCGGCAACTGCGTTTTGTGTGGAATAAATGTTGCAGGCAGCCCAGCGAACAGTGGCGCCCAGTTGGACGAGCGTCTCGATCAGCACTGCCGACTGAGCATTGACGTGGGTGCATCCGACGATATTCGCTCCCTTCAGGGGCTTCTCATCCCTCGCCCTCTTCCTCAGCGTCATAATGCCCGGCATCTCCGACTCGGCGATCTCGATCTCCCGCCTCCCAAACGCACTCTTCGAAATGCTCTTCACGCAAAAGTCGGTGCCTCCGGCGGAGTTGCGCTGATGGTTGTCCTTCGGGGAGACGTCGTCCTCGTCGGAGCTTCCAGTGAAACAGGCTGTCGGATTAAAAAGGGTGCTAAGTAAGTTCAAATACAAGAAGCGATATTAAAACAGAAAACACGGTTATCTTGTATGATTCATTATAGATAGATATCATTACATTTCAACCTTTTTGGCTGTTAATATGCATTACAACTTAGACTTTTAAATTATCCGGTTTTAAAATGTTGTAGTACTTACTGGAACTGAATGAGCAGGTGGACACATCTGAAAACCGCCGAGCCTCGATACTTGACTTCTTCACAGCAGTCTATTTAATTAAAAGAATATTTATAAAAGAATAAGCTAAGCGTTGCTTGAATTTCCTCTTGTCGAGCCGCAAATTACATTGTTTAATTGCACGTATGATAAAAAGTACTTGACAAGCTCTCAATAGATGCTAAACTCATTGGGATTAACATAAATCATGTGATACAAAAGGGAGAAAATAACACAACAAAATCTTTACAAATACGAGATCACTCCATGCAAGAGAAAACAATTGACTTATTCTATTTTAACTATAATCAGGTGTTTTTGCATATTTTAGCACCACGTTCACGTGTTAATAAATACACAATATATTTGCTCAGATCTAATGAATTCGATTCCACTCCCTCGGCTAACCAGATTTGTAAAATATACCGCATAATCAGGGGTAATGGATTCGATTCACAAGCTCATGAATTTATTGCACTTTCCAATTAACAAATTGCCATCGAATATAAAGCATGCCAAATCGCACATATGTGAGTATTATAGGGATTGATTAATTTTTGATGAAAAACCATTTGAAGGCGCGACTTTTGCGTCGTTTCCAGCTAAATCCAGATTTAAGTGCAGAGAAAAACCGATGGAAATACATTCGCAGTTGGTCACTAATTGGCATCGTTTAGCATACCGGCGATAATTCGTCGCGCCAATTGATTTCGAGAGATATGAAATCGCGAATATAGATCTACAATCCAGACCTACGTCTGTGGCCTCCCGGAGTGTATGTAAACAGTTGAATTAATGAAATCTACGACTGTATAGCGTGGCCAGTGAGTCGATTGTTGTTTACGTTTCTCCGGCCATATGGAATAAACATGCACTTGTATCCACAACATTATACTTTTCCACTATCTACTCATGGCCCAGCAGATCAATATTTTGATTACAAGTTGAAAGTCTGCAGAGCTAATAAGATGAAACTCACTCGAATGATTTATAGCGGCCATGTGGTGGGCAATGTAATTTATGTTACATGTAGATGTGTTTTGCTTAGTTCTAGTCCCAAACTGTGATAATTTAGTTCAGCTTGACCCCTGTTAAAGGGTTACAATCGACGCTGATGTACTGAATTTTTTACTCGACCACTTTCACGGAGTGTATTAAACGCTTCGAGGTGAATGAATTGCATTAATTTATTGTTCAGAGAACGTCTTTGGACGCTTTGTTTGGTAGGGGCAGTGTCACGTGCTATTTTTATTTTAATCGCCAAGTTCGGCTATTGAAACCAGTTGTGGGAATCTGGCCAACACACCTACTAGCTTCGAGTGGCTAATTAGTATTCCCTATGCGGTTTTCCCCCATGGTTATAGTTACCTTATCAGCCAGACTCAGGTCGGCAAACGTTGTCTCTGGCATTTTGGCCATTCTGCAGGCGCTGAGAGCAGACAAAGAATAAAAAACAAAAGTCAGCCAGCAGTTCGAATAAAAACAAACAACGTATTCAGTGTCAGAACTTATTCAAAACGAGCGAACGACCTTCGGAGACTTACACTTAGGCGGATCCGAAACAGGTTATAAAGTATGCTCGGCTTTGTCGCGTTTTATTCCGACTTCTTACGGTCTATGCAGCTGGGAGACCGGCTCTAATCATCCAGTGCAAGTGCTGGATACCACCTAGACTATGTGTATCCTATTCGAATATTTGGCGGAGGCACAACGTCAGTTCTGCTGGAGATCTCCGATCGGACTAGATCGTCCCGCGTTTCGAATCCAAACGAGATCGCCAACCGATCGATCTGTTTGCCTAATGTATTTGTATCTAGAGCGATCTGCGATCTCACGGATCGTCCGCTCGCGACTGGGGCACACAACAAACTGACTCACTGCACCGGGTTTATTGGGAGGCAGCACGATCGTGTGGAAGCACAGAGATACGGCAAGTAAAGAGCAAGTAAGCAAAGAAAAACCAAAAAGCGAGTATCAGCAGCGGTTCAAATAAAAGATCGCCACATTTATGAGAATCTTATCACGAAGCGGCCTCTTATCTCTGCGCCCCCCTTTCCCCCTTGGGCGCTTATCATAATCACAACTTCACCCCATGCAGTATTCCTCGGCAGATTACGGAAATCAATTTCGACTCTGACGTAGGCAAAGTGTCCACTCGGATGAGTGAACTTCATTATAGCTTGGGGTTGAAGCGCACTCTTAGTCGAGTTGAAAGGCTTGACTTGATTGAAATTAAATGTGGAATATTTAAGCAGAGTGGGTTCTTATCGCCTGCCCCAGGCATAAGTGCTGGCAGCTAAGTACTCTAGCTCTTTAAATGCGATCACTTAAAGTATGTACACCTAATTATCATTAAATGTATAAGGGCAATACTGGCTAATTGTTAATATCTGCAAATCTGCAAACGACAAACAACTAATTTTTTGGAGTAAAAATATTAGGAAATTTCTCAGATGTGGCGTTCAATTTAAAAACTTTTTCAAAATTACTTTTAAAATTATTCTTGATAAATTGTTTATACAAAGCACAAGACAAAGTGGCAGAACACAAGGAACTCGAAATGGAGAGGTGGTTTTAAAGGCCAGTGAAATTGTTTTGCTAAATTTGTACATATTAGATGTAAAAAGTAAACAAATATTAGAGCTTTCTTTTAATCATTGTTTCCATTAGTTCTTCAAAGTAGTTTGGTCTTTACAAGGGGTGGGTCGTAAACTTTACTTTCTGACGTGCGAATCGGCCATTTTTGCCATCGTTGCCCAATGATTTGATAGCACTGCATTTTATTGAATGCCTGTGCGCTTTTAGCGTGGCCATAAAGAGGGAAGAATTTTAATCAAGGCACCGAAACGGGATTACGCCATCAACCCTCATCGCATGTCCTTGCCGGGGGATGCTGGTTAGGGGATGCAGCATCTGCAGGGGATGATTGTTACCTTAAATTGGTGCAGAGCTCCAGAAGTTGAGAAGTTCATTATGTCCATCCGATGGTCTAATTGGTTGCTTTCAATTCCGAGCAGTGTCTACATTGTGCGTGATAAACATTTATTGTACTGGCTTCTGTTGAGGATTCTCATTCTCGTGATCTTGTAAACTCTTTTATTGCATACTGCAGATATGACCCCTTGGGTTCCAAGAACAAATGATGTTACTTTAAAGGGCAAGCATTTCGTTTATTCCATTAACTATCGTTGTGATCTTTCATAGGACTAAACTTATGAGAATTTACACGTCCTAAAATTAAATCCACATTCCATAGTTTGGCTTTAGCAGTCACTGTCGCACTCGTATTGCACCTAGAGTTTTTCAAACTCTATCTTTAAAAAAACCACAGGTCTATGGTCTATATACAACGTACGTACTATTTACAAATAGATAAATCTACGCTTGTTTATGTACAAGGGTCTACTTAATACCGTCCGGGTATCTATATACAAAAAGCAGGGCCTTTGAGGCCCGTTTTTTTAAAGCGATCCCACTTTTTCCATCAAATACCAGGGCAGGAACAAGGAGACCGCCACCACGGCCACGCAGGTGGCGCACATGGCCATTGTCGCCGAGAGATTGGTCATCGAGAAGTGATCCTCCTTGTCCTCCAGCTCCTCGTGAGGATGCCTCTCGAACTCCAGGACCTCGACGTCGAACCGAAAACGCACTTTCGACTCCGGTGAGTCCTTGCGCCACACCAAATGGCCAGATGACTCACGGCGCTCCAGGCTCCATTTCGGATCTTGGACTGAAAGGTAGATTAAGGAAAGAAGGGGTTAACAATAAGGTTATAAATATCTGTTAATCAGTGAGTGGGTACAACGATCCACCAATATATAAGATTATCTTCTACATATAAGTTACAAATAAAACGATTTCGAAATGACTGCAATTGAAACTTGTAATTATATATTTTTATGTATGCCGTCAGAGGTTTAATCAGAGAAAAAGTATTTGACTTAGTACACAACAATTCTACATGAAACAATTGCATTTATATTCCCATAAGTATGCTATAAATTATATTTTTGAGCATTGCGTCAAACTGATCGTGACATTTTGACGGAAAGTGGTAAACAACTATTTATAAAATTATTGCTTCCATACGAAAGCGATCTGTCTACAAAGTATTATATCCCCTATGATGCCACGTTAATTGATTTAATTTAAATACTTACCTGATCCAGTCATTGTGCCGTTTTGGGAGTAAGTTCAACGCAAAACCCTGAAATGGCACATAAAATATCATTGAATAAATTAAATGAAAAATACTGCTCCTATAGACGCCGATTAAATGAAATGTTTGCCATTGCATTGCGCAAAAGTTCTGAGTAATCAAACGTTCTAGGTGAAGTACGACCATCTAATTAGCATTCCAGGCACACGATCAATTAGTGCTCACACTTCCCGACATTCAAAATTAAAATGGAACACGGCGGCCGAGTTGCTGACCCTGTCCTTCCATCGCTCAAATGAGCAGAGCTTTTATTTCCCATATAATGAATACTTTTCATATGATATTCCATTAACCCGGCTTGAGTTCGCATAGACTTTAGCCGCCAGTTAAGACCCTCGTACTCGTATGATGTATCTATTGACATGTGGGGAAGACGCCACCTGACTTTTCACTCATCCCCTGTTCACATTGCTGGCATTGATTTTATTTATTGTCTTTTTTTGTCATGAGAAAAAGTGGTGCCACACACGAGGGCAAGCCCCAAAAATCAATCACGCTACACACTTTGTACTGCTGGAAAAGGGTTTTATCACATGGGTTAAGTAATCAATACCTGTAAGTATTGCAAATTTGATAAGCACTAAACGAGCGAGTGACCAGGAAAGAATTGCTTATCTAACTCTTGGACTTGAAGCAATTATGTTCATCACCAATTTCGTAGCCTTGTAAATTTACAATTGCGTAAGTTCCTGGAACCGTGAATATATAATATTCATACCAATATCTGAACCATAGGCTTTCAAAGTCGAAGAACAGAACGATAAGTGACGGACTTTGATTTAATTTACCACCACCTTATCTTTGGGCTCTGGTGATTTGACTAATATTCAAATTTGGAGGAAGTCTATTTGGGATAAAGACATGCGCCTGCATGACGCAAAACGGGGAAACCAAACATAAATAAACGAAAACATAGAGGCAACAAACAAATTGAAAATTGAAATTTTTGTCGTATTGCCTGTTGGATACCCCGGTACTGAACAATTATTTTTAGATTGCTCACGCAGTTGGAATAGCGATATAAATCCAAATTGGCAAAATGAAAATATGATGAGCTGGCTGTGGGTTGGGGAACCTAAATAAATCAGTACACCCTGTGGTTAAGAGGTATTGCGTAGTCGGCACACATGGCTAGGTACGATTTTGAATGCGGTTTTGCATATTTTACGTGGTGCTCGTATTCCGAAATGCCATCGAGAAAGGTCGCAGCACCAAATTAGCATTCCACGCATTGTAGACCACTGCCCTTGAAATCCGGCATTACGACAGCTTACAAAACCGATTCTCCCGGTTCCGCACGATCTATTTCATTATCCGGAACCCTTCAATATCCAGCACACCATTTGGTGTGGTACGGTGGAGCAAAACCTATTTGCTCAGTTGGAGAGCACTCTGTGCGAAAGTGCCCAATATTTACCGACTCACTTTCAAGGCACTATACCGGATTGGTCTCTACCCGGTCCGATCAGTTAGATTTTAGCACCTTTCGCCACCGAATGATAAAGTTCAGCGATTGCCGTCGATCGGCACGGAAAGTGATCGCACTATGGCGATTTGCAAGTCAGCCAGGGCTTTTTTACTGGACTTTGGTCCGATTCGATGCGATTCTTTGTGACTGCCAGCTCTGCGAAAGTACAAGTGCATATGTACATATGTATGTAGGAACATACATATCTGCAATAATACACCGCTTACACACGATCGTTTTGGCATGGCATAAAGTGGCCTACGATCCGGTGTATTGGTGCTTTTAATTGGTTTTCCTATTTTTGTTGCTGCTCTGGTCCGATAAGATTCACAAAGAAACGGCAACGTCAGCTGAGCACTTTTAATCAATGAACTCACAGCGCACTCACTCGTTTCCCAGATGCCCATGTCCACTTGAGTACGGCCACAGTGGGGACCCGCTGCCGCCGACCCGCATGGAAGAGTGTCACGGCTGGCCGTCTTGGCATTTGAGCTCTGTTAGCCGAAAACCTGATTTGGCCAATGCCATTTTCATGCACGGATTACGCAAGCCACGCTCCACTGTTTCTCAGCGAAGCCGCCAAGACAGTAAAATAGTCAGTTAGTTTCCACAAGTGCGAATCGCGCAATCCGACACAAATCGGCATTCAAATTCACGGGGAGGTAAACACGCGCCTGCGATAAGAGTAAAGACCTCTTTCGGTGGAGCTGATATTGATGTATGGTTGGGTGTAGGGTATGTTGTTCTTCGTCGTATGTTGTCAGTTAATCAATAAATATGTGGGGGTACGCACAGAGAGAAAATTATGCTCCACTTGGCCAACTAATTATCTCGAAATCGAATTGGGCTTAGAAACCTCTAGCAGTTTGCAGTTTAATAGTGAAGATTTAATTACTAGACAACTTTTATGCGAATTTTAGTATTATAATATAAGCTACTAACAGCGGCTTAAAATGGAATTTAAATGTTGAAGAAGTCACACTTCTACATATGTGTGAAATTTAATTAAAATTTTTCACAAGCTGGATATGTATTCTTTTTATATGTATTTGTATTCTTTTTTTTATAACAAAAAAATACAAAAGGAATGTTAATTCATATTCGTGTTTTTAAGTATAAATAAAAGTTGGCTCCTTTCACGGCACATTAGTACAGCAGTTTTTAGGTATTTCTCCCCGTGTTACAATCGATTCGATTGCATGGGAGGTGGTGCCACTGCCACTGGCAACCCGAGTAATCAATAACAAACTCAATTTAGTATTTGCTATGCTCGCATGTTCAATTGCATATTTATGTAAGCCCAAAGTTGTTTTTGTTATTACCGCTGCGATTTGAAGTGACTCGACTTGCAACTCGAGGCCAAGCGCCGCTCGAGAATTAGACAACAGCTGTAGCCGTGCTCCGCCACGAAAATAACACTCGCACTCGCACACACTCGAAAAGTCGATTCAATTTGATTCAACTGATTCGACTTGATTCGGATCGATCTTGCTGAGCTTTTGCCGCGTGCAGGCCGCGCCGAACTATTGGGGTCTAGAGCGTGGAGCCGACTGCCGTCCACTAGCCCACTCACCGTGCTCCATTCCTCCATTCCAGCCCCGGCGGTACGAGGCCAGAGTACCAGGCAGCTCTACGAGCGGTATTGCTGAGAGCGAAAGTCCGCCGGGGGCTCGCCCCTCCGAATTCCACTACATCGCCTAGTGGAATCGCACACTAGTGCTGCCGTTGGTCTCTTGCGGCCGAAAGTGCTCGTGGGTAAATTAACTTAATGAATGAGTGGTGATTCCAATCGAAGCATGGAGAAAAGCCAAAGACGTCAACCTGGGCAGTTGCGATCAGTGTGTAAGGTGTAAGTACAGTCAAGCCTCTTCAGTGAGCGCCAGGAGCTAGGTAATATATATTGAGATACATATTTGTTTAAATAATAATAATGGGGCATTTAACACCAGCTGTAGCCAGGCAAAATAACAATAAATTTTACTGGTGCCGTGCTGTAAAACTAGATTAAAGTCACATATTCCACATGTTTTCACGTTTTCCTCCTGTTTCCGCCTGCATTCGACACTCGACACAAGATGTAAACAGTATTTAACATACTTAATATTCATTTAAACAAAATAAACAAACAAGTGAATATGAATAATTATATTACGAGGAGCTATTATTAATTATTATTTTCAGCGCAATACTATGGACCAATTGCTTGCAGCCACGTAAGTAGTACAAAGCTTCTGAGTTTGATAAAAGACAAGAGAGAGGAAAAACACCTTACGCCCTCTTACTGAAAGTACTCCTAACTTGATAAGGAGCTCGGTTAACCAACAACTAAATGGTATACCAAGCGTTCAGGAAAACTAACACGCCCTGTCCGTAGATAGTTCGATGGAAGAGTATCAGCATCAAAAAAAGAAACAACAAGAGTTTTGTTCCCCATTCCTTCTCGACTTTTATGTGTGTACGTACACTTACATTTACTAATCTGAACGAGAAATTCTACTCAGAAAATAATTGGGAAATTACAATCAAATTTCTATAGAAATATGGCAATAAAGAATCGTAATACAATTGTTATCTTCATGGCCCATTTAAATTTCCAACTGAGCTTTTATATATAATTACATTTTTACAAACTGTTGAATAAAATATTTTTCCGAGTGTATTTCGAGTGCGCTGTGTAATGGTGACCACCGAGATGACAATTATCTCAATACACTCACATGTATGTGTTTGCTTGGGGAGCGGAAGGCCCAGATAATCTGCGCGGAGCGAGAATCAAGTGTAATTTTTCCCTCAGTCTACCACCGACTTTGGACCAAAATAAATACAATCCGACGGAGTCCCAATCCCGATTGAAATACACCGAGAATCATTTGTCAGTTATGTAGACTTACGCCGTTATGTCTGGAACATCGACCTCTGAACGCTCCAACTCCGAAGACAGGTATACCCGGGCATCCGAAAATCAACGTAATGGTCATAATATCCCGCTTCCAGCCCATCGAATCCCTGCTTAACGGAGGTGCTCAGGAACTGTGCCAATATCCAGTCACTGGAGAGCTTGAACTACGAATACAACGACGTTCTGTTGACCGAATCCAGCGAGGGGAAGATGATTACGCCGAATCCGTACTCCTTTAGCGGCAACATTTCCATCAGCAGTTGTCCAAGTGAAGATGTTTCATTTACGGAAAGCATCCTGGAGGACAACGGACGCATTTCGCTGGCCTATGAGAACCTGAAGACCATTCCGCGGCGACTGGCCGATAAATTTGCAGCGCAGACTAAGTTTCTCGATTTGAGTCACAATGATTTCCGAAATCTTAGATTTCTCTCCTTCTTCGAGGATCTGGACACTTTAATTCTGGACCGCAACGTGAACCTGGATATTAACACCTTTCCCTATTTGCCGAGCTTAAGGATCTTGTGGTTATTACCATGAATCTTCTTAAAGTGATCCACGCTGTAATGCCTATTTGTTTTGCAGGATCAACAATTGCGATATACGGAATATAACCGACTGGATACACCGCATCGAACGGCAGTGTCCTGCGCTGGATCAGCTCTCTTGCATGGGGAATCCTGGCATCCGCACTGTTTTCGGGGGCCAAGGACCCCGCGAGTATATACTGCAGGTGCTTCCCCAGCTAAAATATCTCGATGGACTTCCGACCAGCAGGAGTGCAGTTCATACGACGCAGTCTTCCTCACAAGGACAGGGTCAGGACTCCACCAGCAATTCGGAAAAGCCCCCACCCGCATCCACACTCACTTTCAAGGACATCTTCCGACCAAAGCATTCCAGAAAATCGCACAGCGGACGGATGTACGGCAACGGCTCCTCCACAAATTGAAGTAATATGCCGAAGGACGGAGGGGCATCCACTGATTGCTTTCTGTCCCATTGTTGGACTATTTTTAACCGTCCGCTGGATTATCAGCGCTGCCCTCGGTGCCCTGCAGTCGTCGATTGCACCTACAGTGCTATGCAAGTAAATATGCATATGCAATCGTATGGCGATGGACACGCACGAGTCTAGTGAGAATTAATCTAGTGCATTAAAGCAATTTTTACAATAATAAGAGTCAATGACCTCAACGAATAGTCAAGTAAACAAACGTATACAATAGGCACCATATTCAGAATAAATCTTATTTTTGTTCAGTGCCCGATTAATTTTACAGATGCTTAAAAACTTGAGGCCAAATAAAGGAAAATTAAAAAAGTCATCGTTCTTAACGTCTATAAGGGATTGAAAAGCGAAGTCTTTAAATATGGATAATTGATTATTCTATATTTGTTAAAAGGACTACCTCAATAATCAAGGCTTTAAATTATCCGATTACAATACTAGAACACCAAAAACAGCTCGGATGCACTGACTATAAAATTGTTTTTACTCCTGCTACTTTGTTTATCTATGTAACTTGCCTAAGAAACAGAAATTGGAAACCCAATTCCGAGAATATTTGGAATCCTTACATCCTGGGATCTATTGCACAAATTATTAGTGCTCATATTGGTCAATTCGATTTGATTTCCAGGTTTCCAAAGGCAGCCTCCAATGGCACAATCGTTTTTTTTGTCGAAATTTGTTCAAGGGCCCACTGACCCAACTTTTGCAGCTCCTTTCGCTTGGAGCTCACAGCTCGGGAGTTGTCCAAATGGTTGCAGCACAAGTAAATGCCATAAAGGGCCCTCAAGTTATGCGGGTTAAGCTTCAGGGCCTGCGAATAGTAAGTGCGAGCCGATTCCATATTCTCGACGCCACCCTGAAAGAAAATTAATTGATGAGATGGACTTCATTAAGGTTTAGCTTGCTTATATAGCTCACCATTGTATAGCGTATTTCCGCCAGGCGCTGGTGTATTAGATGGCTATGGGGATTGTGCAGCAAAACCTCCTCCATGCAGAAGGCAGCTTTGCCAAACTCACCCTCAGCCAGATACATGTTGCACAGCTCGTGCCATGCCTCCTGGTCAGACATGAACCTGAAGGAATTATAAATGTTTTTGAGATTGTTGTACATGGTAAGATAAGGAGTTATGTCTAGTATTAGATTGCCGGAAGGAAATTTTGTTACTTTCTTCCAATAAATCTTGAACATAGTCTTCTTACTTCTTCAGATACTCGTTGAGTTCCTTAATGGCCTCCAGGCGACGACCACGGGCCTTGAGGATGGCAATCTTGCGCTTCCTGGGAGCGGCATTTGTCTCGTCCTTAGCTATGATTGCGTCCAGGACCTCGTCGGCCTCATCGTACTGCTCCAGAGCCTCGTACCGCATCGCTTTGAACTTCATCACGCGCAGGCTGCCCGGGAACTCCAGGGCCAGCTGCTTGGTGCACTTGGTGGCGATGTCGAAGCGAGCCGTGTCCAATGCCGCGATGATCACCTGCTCCAGGATGAGATGCCGCTCGTTGCCGGTCTTGTGCACCTTGTCCTCCAGCACAGCAACCCACAGCTGGACCACCTCCTCGCTGTGGCGCCCCGTCTCCTCGCGCCACGTTTTGAACTGATCCCTTACATCTGGAAGGATGATTATTCGATTATGATAGGGCACTTTTCATACATGCCCTCATTTTTTAGGTCCACGGAAGCCCGGACGATTGGGAGTAACCACTGAAGTGGTCTGCACCTGCTTGGAGCCGGGAAAAGCCGAAAACTCACCCGACCAACTCATCTTCTCATAGTTTAGCGACATGCTCTCTCAGGCGGACCCAAATATCACATCAATTTAACTTAATTTCCCAATTGTGATCTATAACTGGCGATTCCCTTCCTGACAAAATAAAAGTGTGACCGCGTAATGTGCCGTTAGATTATACCAAATAACAGCGGCTCGGTGCTGTCAACCTGCTTTTTTAATATGGTAAGGTCCAGCAATGGAATCAAAGATAATTATACCCATTACTTGTGGAGTACAAGGGTATACTAGGTTCGTTGAAAAGTTTGTAAAAGGTAAATAAAAGCGTTTTCGACCTCAAGTACAGCTCCCGGTGTGATTTAAAATTAGGATTAGGTCATTTCTAGTGAATCTACTTGGAAAAGAAAAATTTACTCGACTAACCAAATCGGGACTATCAACTTCACCTCGAATGAGATTACAAGGACACTTTTAAGCATCTTTCTACGGTTGGCTAGGGACGGTAATTCAATTAACATTTGTCTACTGGATTAAGGAGGATTATACTAGGTTTTAATCCCAAATTAGGCGCCGTAAGCAAGCAGTAAAAGTATATTTATTCCAATGCAATGCGAGGTTCAGGGATTTCGCAGCCGTATTTATTTAGCAAATGCCTGTTATTAGGCTTGGCGCTTAACCAAAGAATACAATTTGACTCCAGAACGAAAACTAAGTGGTATTCGGCAAGTGAGAGATCAGAATTTTCATTGGCATGAAGTGCATCTTTAACAAACAGATTTCGAAATTTCTACCTCAAAAGTCAAAACTATTCTTAATTTTCCTTCTGTATCCGGCTGCACTCGACACAACAGAATTTACCCTACTTATTATTTATCCAAACAATATAAACACACAAGTGAAAAAAATGGAATATGAATAATTATATTATGAATTCCTTTATTAAATATAGGAACTATTATTAATTATTTTCAACTCAATAGTATGGCCCAATTGATTCCAGCCAAGTAAGTTAGTACAAAGCTTCTGAGTTTGATAAAAGAGATAGGAAAAACACCTTACCCCCACTTACTGAAAGTAATACTAACTTGATAAGGAGCTCGGTAATACAACAACTAACTAGTATACCAAGCGTTCAGGAAAACTAACACGCCCTGTTCGTAGATAATTCGATGGAAGAGTATCAGCATCAACAAAAAAAAAAAAACAATAGAGTTTTGTTCCTCATTCCTTACTTTGTTGTTTTCAACTTTTAATACAGACATACATATGTACACTAACACTTACTAATCTGGACGAGAAATTTCACTGAAAAAATAATAATCCTATTGCAAAATAAATAGGAAATTACAATCAAATTTCTATAGAAATATGGCAATAAAGAATCGTAATACAATTGTTATCTTCATGGCCCATTTAAATTTCCAACTGAGCTTTTATATATAATTACATTTTTACAAACTGTTGAATAAAATATTTTTCCGAGTGTATTTCGAGTGCGCTGTGTAATGGTGACCACCGAGATGACAATTATCTCAATACACTCACATGTATGTGTTTGCTTGGGGAGCGGAAGGCCCAGATAATCTGCGCGGAGCGAGAATCAAGTGTAATTTTTCCCTCAGTCTACCACCGACTTTGGACCAAAATAAATACAATCCGACGGAGTCCCAATCCCGATTGAAATACACCGAGAATCATTTGTCAGTTATGTAGACTTACGCCGTTATGTCTGGAACATCGACCTCTGAACGCTCCAACTCCGAAGACAGGTATACCCGGGCATCCGAAAATCAACGTAATGGTCATAATATCCCGCTTCCAGCCCATCGAATCCCTGCTTAACGGAGGTGCTCAGGAACTGTGCCAATATCCAGTCACTGGAGAGCTTGAACTACGAATACAACGACGTTCTGTTGACCGAATCCAGCGAGGGGAAGATGATTACGCCGAATCCGTACTCCTTTAGCGGCAACATTTCCATCAGCAGTTGTCCAAGTGAAGATGTTTCATTTACGGAAAGCATCCTGGAGGACAACGGACGCATTTCGCTGGCCTATGAGAACCTGAAGACCATTCCGCGGCGACTGGCCGATAAATTTGCAGCGCAGACCAAGTTTCTCGATTTGAGTCACAATGATTTCCGAAATCTTAGATTTCTCTCCTTCTTCGAGGATCTGGACACTTTAATTCTGGACCGCAACGTGAACCTGGATATTAACACCTTTCCCTATTTGCCGAGCTTAAGGATCTTGTGGTGATTACCATGAATCTTCTTAAAGTGATCCACGCTGTAATGCCTATTTGTTTTGCAGGATCAACAATTGCGATATACGGAATATAACCGACTGGATACACCGCATCGAACGGCAGTGTCCTGCGCTGGATCAGCTCTCTTGCATGGGGAATCCTGGCATCCACACTGTTTTCGGGGGCCAAGGACCCCGCGAGTATATACTGCAGGTGCTTCCCCAGCTAAAATATCTCGATGGACTTCCGACCAGCAGGAGTGCAGTTCATACGACGCAGTCTTCCTCACAAGGACAGGGTCAGGACTCCACCAGTAATTCGGAAAAGCCCCCACCCGCATCCACACTCACTTTCAAGGACATCTTCCGACCAAAGCATTCCAGAAAATCGCACAGCGGACGGATGTACGGCAACGGCTCCTCCACAAATTGAAGTAATATGCCGAAGGACGGAGGGGCATCCACTGATTGCTTTCTGTCCCATTGTTGGACTATTTTTAACCGTCCGCTGGATTATCAGCGCTGCCCTCGGTGCCCTGCAGTCGTCGATTGCACCTACAGTGCTATGCAAGTAAATATGCATATGCAATCGTATGGCGATGGACACGCACGAGTCTAGTGAGAATTAATCTAGTGCATTAAAGCAATTTTTACAATAATAAGAGTCAATGACCTCAACGAATAGTCAAGTAAACAAACGTATACAATAGGCACCATATTCAGAATAAATCTTATTTTTGTTCAGTGCCCGATTAATTTTACAGATGCTTAAAAACTTGAGGCCAAATAAAGGAAAATTAAAAAAGTCATCGTTCTTAACGTCTATAAGGGATTGAAAAGCGAAGTCTTTAAATATGGATAATTGATTATTCTATATTTGTTACAACGACTACCTCAATAATCAAGGCTTTAAATTATCCGATTACAATACTAGAACACCAAAAACAGTTGCTCGGATGCACTGATTATAAAATTGTTTTTACTCCTGCTACTTTGTTTATCTATGTAACTTGCCTAAGAAACAGAAATTGAAAACCCAATTCCGAGAATATTTGGAATCCTTACATCCTGGGATCTATTGCACAAATTATTAGTGCTCATATTGGTCAATTCGATTTGATTTCCAGGTTTCCAAAGGCAGCCTCCAATGGCACAATCGTTTTTTTTGTCGAAATTTGTTCAAGGGCCCACTGACCCAACTTTTGCAGCTCCTTTCGCTTGGAGCTCACAGCTCGGGAGTTGTCCAAATGGTTGCAGCACAAGTAAATGCCATAAAGGGCCCTCAAGTTATGCGGGTTAAGCTTCAGGGCCTGCGAATAGTAAGTGCGAGCCGATT